AGCATGAAGCCAGAGTTGAGCTACTTGGCCCACAACCTGGTGGAGATCGACAAGTACAGAGTGGAGACGTGCTGTGTCATCGGTAAGCATTGAGCTAATCAGATCAAATGTCACTGTTCACAAAAGTGCAGTACTACAGCATTTTTTTTTTTTTTTTTGTGAAGGGATAATTAGTTGAAATCACTTCATCCAGAAACTGTATTATAATTTAGATAATCTATTGTTTCTAATTAATCTTTTAAAATGTAAAAGATTTAGAGCTTCACAAGTGCAACTACAGTTTTTGTATTGTGCTGGTTTTTCTCTGCTCTAAATGACATTTTTTGTGTTTTATTCTTTTAACTCTGTATCTACATTTGAATTAGTAAAAATAAAATACAAACTAGACAACATTAGGGTTTCATAAATTAAAAATATACAGTATATTTTTTATTCTTCAGGGTTACAGAGGGCTGTAGCCTTCAGATATTGTAAACAAAAACTCCTGTTTTTGTGCTGATAAGTCATGTCTCTTATTCACAGGTAACTATTACAGCTTACGCTCTCAGCATGAGAAAGCAGCTCTGTACTTCCAGCGAGCCCTCAAACTGAACCCTCGCTGCCTCGGCGCCTGGACCCTCATGGGCCATGAATACATGGAAATGAAGAACACTTCAGCTGCCATCCAGGCCTACAGGTCAGACTGAAGAGGTTGAGCATAGAAAACCTGTATGTTTGGTGGATATCTTAGCATCTTTTTCAGTGATTGAATTGTGGAGTTTTTACTTATTAACAGACCTTTCACAAGCATTAGAGTTCAGACCAGCTGAATTGATATCGTGAGCATTGTTTCCTCATTTTTCCTTATGATTTTTCTATCAGACACGCTATTGAAGTGAACAAGCGGGACTACCGGGCCTGGTATGGCTTAGGTCAGACGTATGAAATCCTCAAGATGCCCTTTTACTGTTTATATTATTATCGAAAGGCTCACCAGCTCAGGTATGGATTTTGAAACTAAATACGTTAACATATGCAACATTCATAATCCATAAACGGTCATTGTTTGTTTTGACATACTATGATATGCTCTTGTAGGCCCAACGACTCGCGCATGTTGGTCGCACTGGGTGAAAGCTACGAAAAACTGTCACAGCAGGTGGAAGCCAAGAAGGTCTGCATGTTACAACTATTAGTGATTCCTGGTGTGTGTAATGAAACTCATTAAGGTTTCTGGCTTGTTTGATTTAGACAATGAGACACTTTTTGTCTTTTTATCTAGTGTTACTGGAGGGCATACTCTGTTGGAGATGTAGAGAAAATGGCTCTACTCAAATTGGCAAAGTAAGTGTCTACCACTATGTCCCGAGTTTAACATTTGAAGAACATCAGTAAAACTTGTGGTCTTAAAACATAGTAAACATCACATTTTCTTAAATGTTTGAACACAAAATGAAGATCTGATCCACAGGTTTTTTTTTTTTTTCATTGTCATATGTCAACATGTTATTTGTGCTACCCAAAAATAGGTGGTAAATGTGAATTCTGCTTATTCCTTTGGTAGGCTCCATGAACAGCTGAACGAATCTGATGATGCTGCACAGTGTTACATGCTTTACATCCAAGACATTTTCTCTTGCGGGGTAAGCATTTTTGAAGCCTATGAATATATATGGAATTTTATGGAAGTAGATTTGTTTCAGCATTATGTGTGTGAACAGATCGACAATGCTTGCGTAAATGTGTAATCTGTGAATATAAAACACCTTCCACAAATACAAAAAATAAATTGGCAAATTCACAAAAATATCTTGCAAATATAAAATGGATTTGCAAATACAGAAACAAATCCCACAAATAAAAAAGTGATCTCTGAATACATTCAGTTGATTTACAAATAAATGAAAAGCATTGATGAATATCTTCCTAACATTTACAACTTTCAGACAGACATTTGTGAATCAATTTTCTATTCGTGAAGCGAAAAAGCATTTGTGGATCTCTATTCTACGCTTGTGGATTTCAATTTTAGGGGGCTGGATTTTTTACACTGTGATGGTCATGAAGATGCATTGTAAATAGACCGCATTTCATACCCATCCAACCTGTAAAGTGATAACTGACGTCATTTCTTTACCATCGAGTTTATTTTAATCATTCAGTCCATTTGTGAGACAAACATTGAGACAAATCTACCTCTCTAGAAATCCTGTTCATAGTTTTTGCACAGTGACAGTTCAAGTTTCATGAACGTAACTGTACCTTTCCAGATTTTTACATTAGTGTGTATGTGGCAGAATGTTCCCAGCTAGAGTGAGTGACATCACAAAGAGTGGGGAGAAGCTGTTGTTCTCTGAAAGATTTCTGTTGAACTCGTCCTCACAGCCACAAAGTTTCACATAATACTAAATATTGCATATCACAGTGGATCTTTGTGTCATTTATGCCCTGGTAAAACAAGCCGCTGCCTCTGCCCCAGACAGACAAACAAGTGGCAAGGAAGTGACATCCTAACTGATGACCTGCCTTGATGGGGGAATGACAAATTGCATTTTCATTTTCATTTTCATTTTGACCCCAAAAGAGCGTAGTGAATGTAAATGTAAATGCAATGGACTGTGGGCGCTGTTTGCTTATTGTATTTGAATATGGTCACTGTAGAGCAGGTTAAGTTTTTGAAAATTAACTGTCAATAGCTTTTCAATTTTTATTTTACTATGGTCATAGAACGCCCATGAGTATGTGAAAATGAAAATGAAAATGCAAATTGCATTACTGCATGTTCTTTAAAAAAAAAAAAATTTTTTTAGTTTGCTGGGCTGAAGAGCAGCACGAGAACAGGTGTACTAACTGGGCAGCTCACACAGTTGTTGTGGTCTGCTGGGGCAGCAGCATGTCAGACATTAACACAAGGAGACTACACAAGCTGGTCAAAAAGGCTGTGTCTGTGCTCTGAATTCACTCAGGGTTGTTGTGGAGAAACATGCAATGTAAGATTCAGGCGGGACATTACTAACTCTAACCCTCTCCACAACATTCTGGCAGGACAGAGAAGCAGCTGTATAACACCTTGGCCAAAAAAAGTATAAGTAATAATAATCATCATCATCATCTCTGACTGGATATTTACTATAAAAGTTGCATATGGAGGTGCTAGTTGTAGTTCCCTTTATGCTACTTACCAAAACAAAAATTATATACGGTTAATAAGAAGTCAAAAAAATAAAACAATTTTTTATGGTCGAGTCTCATCTTGTTATACAACCCTGTGTCAAATGATAAATAAATTAACCTTGTAACCTTAACTTATTGTACATTATAACATACTCCTTACTATTTACCCAGAGTTGGCCCAAGCCTTTATGGGGCCCTAAGCAGAATTTGATTTAATCAAGGGTGTAGGTTTGGTCTCGAGATTGATTTTTTTTTTTAATGCTGTCAACCAAACAGTTTATTAACATATAAGATCTGAATTTACATTCAGAAATGCCCATACGCAAATGTTATGTATGTACATGTGTGTAAGGCATAGTATACTAAGGCATTAGAGTCACCAGTTAACCTAATGTGCATGTCTTTGGATTGCGGGAGGAAGCCGGAGTACCTAGAGAGAACAGAAAAACTCCACACAGAAAGGCCCCAGGCCCAGGGTTCAAACCCAGAACCTTCTCAATGTAATGCAACAGTTCTAACCACTGCCTCACTGTGCCACCTCATCACAAAGTCATAGTATAGTAAGGCATAAAGACGTAATTGTATACTAGGGCATAAAAATGTCATATTATATAGTAAGTCATACTATAATAAGGCATAAAAAAACGGCATAGTATAGTAAGGAATAAAACATTTTAATATAGTAGGGCATTAAAAAAAAGTTATAGTGAGGCATAAAAAGTCACAGTATAGTAAGTCATAAAAATGTCATGTATAGTAAGACATGAAAAGTCATGGTATAATAAGGTTAAAAAAAAAGTAGTATAGTAAGTCTTAAAAAAGTCAGTATAGTAAGGCATAAAAAAATCTAATCAAATTCTAACAAAATCTTGTTGTGACAGGAACAACTGGAGCACGCTGAGGTGAGCACAGCCCTGCGGTACCTGGGTCAGTACTATTTCAAGAACAAGTGCTACGATGAGGCATCCCTCTGCGCTCAGCGCTGCTGTGACTACAATGATGTAAGTGTATCCCAATAATCTGAGCACCCTGTTGTACTAGTAGAGTGTAAGTAGCAGTAACAATAACTGGTGTTGGTGGTCTGTTTGTAGGCTCGTGAAGAGGGAAAGGCTCTATTGAGGCAGATCTCGCAGGTCAGAGATCAGATTGAGACGCCATCAGCAGATTTGTTCTCTCAGCTGTCAAACAACAACACTCCAGTCAGGAGGGTCTCTCCTCTGAATCTCATCTCCTTTACACCCTGACACCCACCCTGCTGTTCGCTGAAATGGACAATTTGTGTATCCTGTGACATGAAACTTCTTGGCGGCTTGATAGACTTTGACAAAGGACTGTTGGAAAGATTTACATGTGGATGTGTACAGAGTTGTTTGACATTAAAATCACATTTGTTTGTAAAAATTTGTAATCCTGATCATTTTTGTCCAGGACAAGTTGAAATCTATACTGCAAACATATAAACAATATATGGCAGCCTGATTTTGGATTTTTTTAAATAGATTTAAATACACATGTAGTTATTGTATCATTTAATGCTTGGTTAACAATGTAAAAAGCACAAATGAAAGGAATCCATCAGAGCACAGGCATGTAGTACAAAGAGACACTTTGAACTATTAACACACAACATAAAAAAGTACGACACAAACACATTGTGAATCATGCCTCAACAATGCTTATATATTATGTAAATTGTTTAAATACAGCAAACCACCTATGCAAAGACTGTTTCTTTGTATTTTGTACAGGATATGAAAACACTGTAGTGAATCAAATGAAGATATTAGTACAGTAAAAAAATATTTCAAAAATGTTAGTAAAAAGCATCTTCTTTCAACTACTCAAAACAAGGTTTTCATTGATTTTATTGTGGAAAAGAAAAATACTTGCAGCAAAGGCATGTTGAGGTGTTGCAGAGAAGGTTAATTATACACACATGCACTATTACCATACGGCCCATAAATATCACTCTGAGCAACTTTATTGCTCAAAAGCACCTCAATTACCTTAGTAGTATACTGCAACCTCATTTAAAGCATTTTACTGGCATTATAACTGTATTTGGCATGACAACATAACGTCAACTGCACTGCAAACAGTGAACATATAAAAAACAATATAAAAATACTATAAAGTTACCAGCGAGTGTGACTTATGTTGTTGCATAATATATTGATAAGGACACAGCCCCTCTGAAGCTATAAATAGCTCAGTACTTCCCTCTGAGACTACGAGGGGTGGGGACAGGGCTGGGAGGCGGAGACTGCTGACGAGACCGCAAGATCCGTGTGTAGGGGGTAAGGTTTGTTTCTTCAACAGCTCGAGTGTTGTATTTACGCGTTGGAGTGCGTGTCGGGAACAGAGACTGGAAAAAGGGCCGTTTCTGTGGAGGGCGGTTTTCAGCATCACTTGTTGTGGCGGCTCCACAGCCCCTCTTCTTACAGGAACCTGGTGTGGTGGAGGCAGAGGCAGAAAAGCCAGAGGGAGGCATCTGGGGCCGGGTGGCCTGTATCTTGGCAAGGGTCTCTCCTTTCCGCCTCAAGTCAGCTTTGACCAGCATCAGGCTGTTCAGCAGCTCCACCAGGATCTGGTCCTAAGAAGAAGTCAGTCAACAGGGTTAGACAAGACCACAGAGGTGGAAGTGAAGGTGAAGGATAAGGTTGGAGGGTAAGTGACAGAGAGTGAGGCAAAACGCAGCTCTTGAACATGCTTTGGCACTTATCACCTGGTGCAAATGTTAGAAACCCAGATTTAGTTTAAAAGCTGGCTGTGCATCAAGATGGTTAGTGAAGAGTAGAGGGAGAGAAAAACAAAGGATTTTAAATTGAGATTTGTACAGATGCTGCAATAAAATACTATCAATCTATCAATTAAAGCTTCTCTAAAGCTAGAGCATCCCTAATCAGCATCAAATTGAGGAGAAATATAATTACTATCAAAACTCTGGCCTGACTGAAATTTTACATGTAGGCATCACAGGGAGTGGTCTTATGCAACTAAATGATAAATGAAACCCTTATTGGATAAATTCAATTTAAGGCACCAACTAAATTATAGCTTTATATGAAAATAAAAAAATATACCATTTGTCTTAGTTTTTGGGTGCCTTCTCTCAGAACACAGAAGATAAAGCACCCTATGATATGACCTTAGTTTATAAAATCATTTAGTATTATACCATTCATACATATTTGTGGTTGTACCTGTTTGGCAAGTGTCTCATCTGCAGCATTTAATGCCTGACGCAGCCGTTCCCCTCCTGTATTGCGACAGCAGGCTCGTTCACCAGACTGAAGGTCCGCCCCCAGCCTCTGCAAATCCAGACGCAGCAGACGCAGGTTCTGTTGAGAAAGAGTCAGAACTTTAGTCTATTGGAGGGTCACATGTAGAAAAAATACCACTGTGTTTGTCATGGTGCAACAGTAACTGACCCGTTGACCTTCCTCAAGCTTGCGGTCAGCTGCACCGGTGCCTGTTGAACCTGGCACTTCAAGCTGCATCTTTAGCTTTGTCAGCTCTGTATAGGCAAAAAGAACAAGACAGTCAGCTACCAACATTAATATCCTAACATGAACAGGTCATCAGAGCAGTCTTCCAGTCAGACTGTACCTTGTGTCTTGGTGAGCAGCTCGGTGCGGCAGTGGTCGAGCTCAGCACGCAGTTTGCCAAGTTCTGTCCGAGCGGTGAGCCGTCGAGAACGCCGAGGCTCGTCTCCCGGCGGCACTAACATGGAGACCGATTCAGCATCTTCGTTTTTTTCAAGGGCAGCAGACAAAGCTTCAATCTCCTGATCACGCTCCTGAGACAAATGATGGAAAGAAATGAAATTGTGAAAATTGATAGCACATGGATTCAAATATCTTTGCACAGATTCAGGAACAGCATTACAATTACTATATGATGGCATCGTGAAAACTGACTGCATTTGGGAAATTTGTGTAAATTTGCAGATTATTTTTTGTATTGAAAAACTGCGTGAAAGTGATGCAGACTTGAGGCTGATCATGAACTCTCACCTTCAGCTCCTGGCTGTAGAATTTTTTCAAATGTTTCTGCAGGTTAGATATCTTGTCCTCATACCTCTCTTCGATTAGAGCCCTCTCCGCCTCCAAGGTCTCACTACAAGGTAAAAAGATGCCACCTCTTAGGATCTATATTGATCTCAAAGTAAAACTTTTTTCTTTAAACATCTTTATGTTATGACTTCCTGTAGAGTGGACTTTTTCAAATAATCCTTTCATTAAGAATACCATGTTCTTCTCAAATTACTTTACTAAACCTAATAGCAACTTCTATCAAGAGGGAACTGTTAGATTCACATCTAAAACATTGCTAGAATTGCTTCTAACACATGTCCTCAATGCAACTTGTTTAATATTAAAAAGGCATTTTAAAAACTCTGACATTTTGATTTACAACACACACACACACACACACACCTGAAGCCATCTTGCATCCCAGTGATGACCTCCATCATCTCAGAAACCACCTGCTCTCTCACATTGGCCTCAAGAACCTCTTTTTCTTCCCGCTGGCGATGCACCTCTCTCTTCAGAACGTCGATTGCCTGCAGCAAAGCCTAAAAAAGATAGAGTCAGCTGTTAGGAGCTGTCTGAGTTGTTATTGGTTTTAGATTACCTTAAATGCATCATCTAGATGTTGTGTCTAAATATGCAGAACACTCCTGTTGAAAGCCTCAATGCAACATTATAAGATTGTTTTATAGATGAAATTGTATTGCAGAGGAAAGAAAACTGGTTAAGTGGTTGTGGAGATAAAAAATAGTGAATATTTAGCTCTCATGTATTTTGGTAGAGGACGTTACCTCAGTGTTTAACATGGTGATGTCTCCGTCTTCAACATCACTCTCATTCTCTTCCTCTTCCAGCACCGTGCTTTCGTTACCGTTTCCTGCTGGTTCGCGCAGTAGAGACAGGATGTAGGCCACTCTGGTCTTTGTGGATGGGCCATGGACCAGCTGAAATGATATGAGGGTTATTTTATTTGTCTTTGGTCTTATCCCTAAATCAGTCACTGCATATCACAGAAGTTAGATGCACAGCAGTGTCTCTTACTTGGGTAGCAATAGCAGAGAATTTGAGGGCTTGGAGGGTCTCGTCATAGATGGAGGCGCATGGATTGATGTTGACCACCATGCTGGAGGTTCCTCTGCCACAGAAGAAACCCTGCAGCACCCGGGTCAGTTTGCTGTCCCTGAAGGGCACCACTTGAGGGGGTCGTGATCTGTGGAGGCATTGTGAGGTTTTCAAGGTCTTGCTTTCTCAAACAGCTCATTCAAATATATTATGATCAGAAGAAGTATTTGTGACAAAAATAACCATGACAAAATAACCCTAATTTAACAGGTCCACTTACTAGCTTACTACCACTGCCACATTCAATTTTTAAAATGATCAGCAGTGGTGTGCCTTCATTCAGAGTTTCAGTTAAACACGTACTTGTTGTTCTGGTTGTGCCTCAGAGCAGCAATACAGCGGCCCAGTGTTAAAAGGGAGGTGTTGATGTTGTTGGCTTCCTTCATCCTCTCACCGTTACGCTGCTCTTTACAGCGTTCAGACCCAGCCAGATCACACACAGTCAGTCTAAAAAAAAGAGACACTTTGTTTTTATCACTTTAACAAACTCAAAATATATCAAGATGAAAATAAAACAAAACTGTAATCAGGGTTTCTGCAGGGGTTAAAGTATGAATAATATCTATGAAAACAATAAGATGACTGGAATTATTTGCCAAGTCCATGAATATCACAGTTCAATACAATAATTCCGAATAATATGAATCAATCATTATATATGACATGGACCTGGATAAGCAGTAGAAAATGGTGACTTAAAAGAAAATAACCAATTAATATTAACTACATATGAATTGTAGCTCTTCACATACACAAACATTTTAAAATGAACTAATATCAGTCCCTATGGCAGACTCGAGGGAAGAATATGACATTTGATAAATAAATTTAGGACTTTTTAATGCCTTTAAAGACCTTTTTTATGAGGAAACAAACCAATGCTTTTTAAGACTTCAAGACCTACGGAAAACCTGTGAAATTTAGGAACATCCAAGTAGGGGAAAATAAGATAACATACTCGCTGATGTGCGTGGCCGGGCCTGAATCTGCCTCTGGGCGGACGTGCAGGACACGGATGGAGAAGATGCTGTGGCTGTGTAGGTGACAAATTTGGGATCAGAGATGCTGTAATTGCAAGTCAAACAAGTCTGTTTGATCAAATAAATCAATCAATCAATCAAAATAAGGTTTTGAAAGGCAAATGTTCAATGCGCTCCTACCTGCGGCTGGAGTTTTGGTTGAGATGAGTGCTGGCGAAGCTCTGGTTACGATGTCCGGCCCTCAGAACCCTCCACGCTTCCTCTGCACTGCGGACCTGGATCCAGGTGAGGTCTGACATAACAAGAGCAAGAAGCAAAAAATGACTTTCTTGCATCATGAAAAGCAGCAGCAGCAGCAGCAGGTGCAGGAACAGGAGCAACAAATCATGTTTCATGTGCTCCATTTCAAAATCATAACAGAGCAAACATCTATTGCATAGTTTCCTTTAACATCATTTCTTGTTTAATAAAATGTAACACATCACATGAGAGAAGTTGCATAATGGGATTGAGCTTCAGCAGGTTCAAACTGATATATACTATAGTAATCAAACTCATTTAAAGTACAATATATTACTTCTGTGAATGAGTCAGTGGTACCTTTCACAAAGGGGTTGCCCTGCTTGTCGTCACCAAGCCGCAGTGTGACTCTCTTTCTTGGCTGCAGGGAGGGTGAAGCATCCAGCAGATCATACAGGAACTCATTGTAGATCTCATAAAAGGACACCCAGATAGAAAACTGCACCCCTTCCTCCAGGTCGTCCCCACCACTGTGTGAAAGGCTGTCTGGCTCCAGGCAAACACTGTCAGTGTCTGCGGAGAGGGTCAAACATCAACATGTGTCATACTTTAAAGGAAAACATTAAATGGTTACACACATTTCAGGATCTGATCTGACAGTCAGTAAACTAACCACTTGTTCCGAGGGCCAACAGTCAACATTCAATTCCTGTACTGTAATGTGAATTCAAATAAATTGAATCAATTTGGAGTATGTCAAATACAACACTGACAGTCCTCCTCACCTTCCAGCTGGCTGGTAATGTTACTTGTGGAGGAGAGTCCTCCGATGCCGCTGTCCCAGATTGTAGTGGTACCACCGCGACGAGAAGTCAAATTGTCATCCTGTAACACATAAGAGGAGTACATCAGCCCCTATATGTGAAAGAGGGTACTCAAATCTTTATGAGTAGTGTGGTTACCCAGATCAGCAGATATAATAAAAATAACACAACCCAAATATGAAATGTTAAGACAAGACTTTTGAAAAGGTCTCATGAAATGGCAGCAATTGTAATTGTCTTCCACAGTTTCATGTCTAACTTGTTTAGCTAACATGTGCTGGAGATTCTTATTTGAGATGTCAGACGTTGATGGGAATAATAATTGCAGAATAGACACAGACAGTATTTTTTTAATAAGATAATTTTCTAATCTTCCAACTCACATGAAACCTTTCTACTCTTAATTGGATGAATACACTACTTCCTCTGTTGTTAGTGGTCTTTGTTTTCAGTTGGTCATCATCTAAACATTTTCCATAGGACCCTGATTTGTCTGACACATATCAGGTACAGCTCAGTCAATTCTAGTTGGATATTTTTTAGATTTAAAACATACACTACTACCCACTACAACTTAGTTGACATTAAATTATAAAGAATCTGTATCTATGTCCAAGTTTAGGATGAGCTGTTGAAAATTATGAAAAAAAAAAAAAAAAGAAATATACCAAAGTCCATTATTAACATATACTTGGCACAAAGCCATAGAAACAATCTGGGACACATTGGAACAACAAGGAAATTGCATTTTTCATTCTATAAGAAAAGTGGTTCATATCTTTGGTTTACTTTGTGTTTACCTCTTTGAGCAGAGAGTTTCTGCGGATTTCCTCCACCCTGACCTCACTGGGTTCAAGCTGTCTCACATCCTGATACATGACAGGCTTCAGGTCCATGGCACCATAGAGACGACCCTGCAGTTTCCTGAACAGAGACGCTAAAGCTCGGGGTAGGAGGCCTGCCTGTTGACCACTGCCTGTAAGTCAAAGCACAAACAAACCCATTTCATAAAGCTGCACACACTAACATCACGATCAGACCTGGGCTTTCTATCGATGTGTCCAAGTACTGTTAGGACAAGAATAAAATCTTACCCTGAATGGTGTACGTCTTCCCAGAATTGGTGACACCATAAGTGTAGAGGAGTCTGTTTTCTCCCTGAAGCACGTCTTTCACCATCTTTTTCATCGTGCACTCATAAAACTGCTGCTGTGTGGTCTCTGGCCCTAAGATCTATGAAAGATGGATAATGAAAATAATCAGTATGTGATACATAAATCAAATTACTCCAGCATCCTCCTTGTTTATTACTGACATTGGCTGCTATTCACACCCATCAGCCCATATTTACCATCAATATAAATGAAAAAAAAAAAAGCCTGTTTGGAATTATCATTCACTTCCACGCAGGTTACTCTCCCACCAGCACTACTGCTTTATTCATGTATTTATTTATTTTTCAACAAAATCAATATGATTTCAGGTTGGAAACCAATTATATATATATTTTGTAAACACTGAGCACAAGTGTACCTTGGAGAAACTGAACTTGTGCATGCTCTGGGTGATGCCCCTCTCTGCCGTCCTCATGTTCTGAGACTCTTTCGGTGCTTTGAGCAGCAGAGTCTCTTCATCTTGAACAGCCACACAACCCTAACAGAAGAGGAAAAATTGAGCACAGTGAATATGTCTACTAAAACCAATGAATGCGCACATGCATCATGACTGCAGTTATCATGAATACCTAATTGGTGACATCTGATCCTGCAAATGAAGGTCTTACCTGTTCTTCTCCTTTCTCTCTCTCCATCTCGCTAAGTGGCCGGATGCGCAGATAGACCTTCACCCTCTCAGTATTCCCTTCACCACCACTTCCTTGTCTCACCAACCCAGGTTTCACTGCTAATTTCTGGATAGACAAATTTAACATTTTTAATGGCTTGTTGCTGACATGGAAGAATTTAAATCATTGTTTTCATGTGCTCATTCATTAAAACAGTAAATGGGTGGAAACAGGAAGTCAATGTAAAAATTATAGGGTTCAAAACATTTAATAAAAAGGCTTTGCAAATATTGACTGAGGTAGTAAATACGTTTAACATGTTTTGTTTGATCGTCAGAATACACACGATGTGTTCTGGTGAGAAATGTGTAATGTAAACAAACCTCATTTGTTTACAGTGGAAACTTCACAAAGTACACTGCAGATATATTTACACAAAGCATACTCCTGTCAACTCTCACCGATCCTGCAATAAACGGCCGGGGGTCCAGGCCAGGGGAAATGACAGAAATCTCGGGTAGACCTGGTCTGGTCAGACCTCCATGCTCTGCTGCCGTTGACTCAAACACAGCCATTTCCTCCTCCTCATCGGAGGGGCATCCACATGGGGAGGACAAAGACAGCGCCATGCTTACCTGTTGCAAGAAGACAAATCTTCATGAGTATGATATAATCACAACATATTTCAAATTTAGCTGTGAGCCATTAAAATCCATGTAAAAGCCACTTTGTAGTGGCCCTTTGCATATTGCATTAGGATACAATATGCAGAAAATGAATGCATAAATACACATTAAAGGACTCAAGTGTTATAGCTTTGATAGTCTTTAGGCAGCACCTCACTGTAGGAGGGGATTAGTAAAAAACAAGGGTGTGTCATGAGACAAGTTGAGAACACAGAAACTGAATGAAGCCTTCTTTGCCCTTCAGAGCCAAACAGCACCTGCTTGAGCAGTCAAACAGGAAAATTATTTCACCTGTCCTGACAAGTTCAACACTGGTGCAGAAGAATCTCATCACTGAAATCAATAAAAATGTAAATTAACCTCTTTTTTTTAGTTACATTAGATGAATGTCCTTAAACTTTTCACAGATGTTGGGCACTGCAAGTGTTCAAAGTAACAATGCCAACTTTAATGCATGTAGGTTAACTTTTTTGCTATTTGTGCCTCAGCTACTTGGAACATATGATAAATAGAGAACACACTTTCCAACACGAGGTAAGTGCGTGAATACATTAAATTAACGTTGCACATAAACGCATACGAGAAGTTGTAACGTTATTACATCAAACATAACCTGGATTTAGAAAAATATATATTTTATTATATTATAATCACGATTTACGGTGACGAACAGCTTTACTGTCGTTTAGCATGGAGTGACCCACCTTTAAGCAAAGGTTAATTTAACTTACCTCGAAGTTCTGAAGTTTCCAGCGAACAAATTCTTAATAACTTCTTATGTTACTGAGAAAAACGCCAAAAACTCAAGAACTTGGCTGAAATTGGAGGCACTGGGTTAAACTGTATCAAATCAAGCTACCTGTGACTACTACTTCTCTTTCTGGTGAGTTGTTTTACCCGACAGCGTTTGGTTTTTGAACAATGCGCTTCCGAGTCACTGATTGGCTAAAGCGTCCTGCTGTCTGCCTTCTGATTGGCTAACTTGTCACATGGTGTGCTGTATAAACTGTGCCTCCTTAAACTAGGACGCCCTTCATATGTTCCTATCACGTGTTGTAAATAAATGTGGCACGTCATGAAAATATGTGTCAGTCGGCATGGGTTAACAACGCTCATTTCAGGGATTTTAAAACATATGCAATACAAACAATAGAGAAAGCAAGCAAGTAAGAAAGAAAACAAGGCGGAAGTGGGCGTGAACACTATCATTTCGAGTGGAAACAAAAATCCTCTGTACAGGTTCTCTACTGTCTCTGGTGGAAAGTAGAAAAGGAGACAGGAGGCAGAAGGTGGAGAGTTGCTTACCCAAAACTTAAAATACCATGTTTATTTCAAATGCATATCACAAAAATTACATTTTACATGATAACAGAAGGTGATACAAAAAGGCTACAATGGGTAATACAAGAAATCCCTGCCACTAGCCATTTAAAATATTATATATGAAAATAGGAAAATGCTAAACTGGATAAACGTGAGATAACTGTGAACCATGTCGGCTATAAAGAGATGCAGGGAACTTAAATGCTACGATTTTATTTGGCCAAATCTGGTATATTTATTACAATATACTTAATTACACATTACAAGGACCATATTTATTTACGGCATTTACCTCCAAGATATAGCCTTGAATACTTAAATAGTGGCGCTTTACCATTAAATATTATTCTTTATAAAAATCTTGCACACCCCAGGACTGTGGTGCATCAATGTCAAGAAGTGAAACAGTAAAATAAAAACACAATACTGAATGAAGTCTCATGCAGGGATACTGCAAGTAGATAGATAGATAGATAGATAGATAGATAGATAGATAGATAGATAGATAGACAGATACTTTATTTATCCCTTAGGGAAAATACATGTGTGAGTTATGTATATGATTGTGGTTCACTGACATTATCTAATCATGAAAACAAATCTAAAAAAATCTTTCATTCAATTTCACAGAACACAAGAACAAAATAGAGGTCAGAGGTCATGAGGGAAATGCTTTTTATCTTTCTAAACTTGGCCACATTTTTATTGAAATCAAAGCACTTGTGCCCATTGCATGTTTTTATCAGTCAATCAATCGTGTCACATTGTTTAGCCATTGTAATCTTGTCCAGGTTCAATGTTTTGTACTATATTCGTGGTGATGCTGTGAATACTGACTCGGTTGTGTGAATTTTGAAGCCTTTGCTTCTGCACACTGTGCTGAACACCATAACAAAAGTAGATGATTAAACCTGTTGAAAGAAAAGTGACATCACCACTGGTCATGCTCACATTATTTGATATTTTGGCACATTTTGTTTAAATGAAATTGTGTATTTTGTAGTGAGATTGATCACATACCTACTGCCATCCATACTGCATAGCGGATCCATGTGTCCGATCCAAGTTGAACCATAAGATAGACATTGGCAAAGGTGCTGAAAACAGGAAGCAATGGCACTAAAGGAACCTGTACATATGAAAAAGCAGAAACATTGTGACAGGCAAAATCAACACAAAGAAAAAATACCCAATTTCCCTGTTTAAAACTTTACAGTTGCAAGAAATACATGAAGTGTCACCAGTTTGCCATTTTTTTTGTTGAGAGTGATTTCCTACAGGTTACAAGTTAATAACTTCAGTATTAACATTTCACCGCATGAAATAAATAACTACTTAATTACATTTATTCCCAGGAAACCAGAGCTTAAGTTAGATGAGGTATACCATGAAAGCAGCTTTTGTTGCACTTTGTGGTTGTCTCCAGATGATCAGGATACTGAGGACCAGCATCAGTACGATCACAGAGACGCAAAGTAAACTCCACCACTCAAGGGCCTGCAGGGAGTCTACAGCCCCAGATATGAAGAGGCTTAGGGTGATAGCTAAAAAGACTGAGGAGAACAATGCAAGTTCCAATCATTATTAATCATCTATATGCAATGTAATGCTTAAGAATGGTGATAAAAAAGATCACTTACTAATAAAGACAGTTAAAACAGATACATTTTTTGATGTCCGTGCGGTGGCTTGTGAAGGAGGACCTAGTACTCCACTAACTGTGAAAGGTTCTGGTTTGCTGAAACTTGAATCCTCGCTCGGGTCTGCTTGGTATCTGTAAAAGTGAGGAAATATAAATAAATGTACCGAGGTGTAGGGTTAATATAGAATTTATGTCCATATATTGATGTAGCTGTGACTTCAACATGGGGTTTTATTTTTTCTTTATTTCCTGAATCACACAAATTTATGTGAATCCCTGTCTGCGGTGATGTTTCTCACACACACCAGACAGGTGTCATCTTATTTAACAATCTTTTGTAATTATCAGCCACTGAAGGCAGTTAAATGGAATTAATGTAGAAACTGCACAGTTTCAGCAGTTAATCAAACTATTGTGTACTATTACTTGTTAACCGATACAATTCGACAGCACAGCACAGAGAAATGTCCAGTTTTGTTGGTCTCCCCACCTTTAAAACAACTTTTCATTGTTTTTGCAGACATTTCTTGTTCTTATAAAAGTTTTTAAACTGTCAAATTTCACTGCCCTCAGTTACTTTATAGGATTATTATTATACCTATACTGTGAGACTATCTATAGGCATTGAGTTACACATGAACAAAAGCATTTTCTGTTGTTGACACTGTTTCATCTACAGATGCTATAAAGCCATATACACATCATAGAGCCACAGCATCGACACCACTCATAAAACATGAGCTTTCTCCCAAACAAATATAGTAACAATTAAGATTGCAGTAATAATATCATTACTATAAACACTTCTGATATTTCATACCTTAATATGAGGATACATATAGCAACAAGGGTGTAGGCAAAGAGGGTTCCAATTGACATCATGTCAACCAGCGCCTTCAGGTCAAATAACAATGCCATGATAGCTGAAAATACATGAATAAGTTATATTAACTTAATAATGTCCTCTTACACTCATTCCAGTAAATAATATCCCAACCTTAACTTTTCAGAGATTTAATACTCAAAATTCATGTAACACAGAGAGAGGGTCATCAGCTCATATGTATATACCTCTAATGTTGTTTTGGACAGGGCTACCATATGGAGACAGGGTTTACAGAGAAAGTGTATTGACAGTTTGAGATACACTGTGTGCCTGAAGTCATCAGTTGACACATAGTATGTATTCAGCAGATTTACTCAGCCCTGCACTATGCAGCTTGAAAGGGAAAAATTTACCTTTCGCCAAATATTGTCCCTCAACTAAATAAATACATTTAGACGTTTAGAATCAGTGGGGTGTTAATGAACCATTTTAGCATTGAGCATAAGGATGAACACCTAAGATCAAAACAGGAATAGGAACTATATATTACCTGCTACAACCCCCGAAGCCAGAGTTGCTATGACAGGACTTTGTCTGTCACTCATTTTACTGAGAGGTCTAAAGAGAAGGCCATCCCTGGCCATGGCAAAGAGAACACGGGGCATCGGGAACATTGATCCCAGTAGGCTGTGGGAAAAAACTCAAAGAACTCCATCAACAACAAATGGGTTGTTTATTCCAGTGATCTTCCTTTACAGAATGACCTACAGTATATGTATTCTACTTGTCAGCCAATGATAATGGGATGTTTTTGCTAATAAACTTAAAATACAAATTAACTAACCTAGACTGAAAATTTAATGTAACTTTTGATTTGATTGGTGGAATAGAGTGAAATTTGTAAATTACACACTGTGTTTCATACCTTGTTGACAGTGCACAGAGGGATCCCACAGCCACTGCATACTTTGCAGGGCCCCAACCGATGTATGTAAAGGCCACGGGCAGTGGGCTGTGAACACTCAGCAAATAATACGGCATCATAAGAGTCAGGGCAGCAGACACACCAAAATATGCCAAGAAGCAGATGAGAAGGGACGCCACAATACCGAGTGGGATCGACTTCTGAGGGTTTTGAACTTCTTCTCCTAAGGAAAAAACACATTTTAATTTGTACTAATCTATACAATAGCCTATTATGCACCCTCAGCACTTACAGTGTACTGTGTCTGTGTAAATTCAATGTATAGTCCAACAATGTGTATAAAGTCTTTAGCTATACTATATTTACTATACTTTTAAGCATTTATTAGCACCAAGCACAACCAGAAACATATACATTTAACATGTTTATGTTTCAATTACGTCCCTCCCACCTGGGGCTGAAAGTCATTCAGATCCTTTATTTTTATTTTTATTTTACCTTCCCTCTGTATTATCAGTGGCAGTTGTCAACAGTTATGTTACAAGAAATTTTCTTGCTGGACCTCCTTTAAATTACCTGTTGTGGCAATGCAGTCAAATCCGACAAACGCATAAAAGCAAGTGGCTGCTCCTGCTAATGTGCCCTCAAAGCCAAAAGGGAAAAATCCCCCACTGCCATATCTGGAGGTTTCATTCAGTGATGTGTGGTTTCTGCAAAGAACAGACACATTGATGTTTGGTCATTCAATAATAATCGATGAACTGATTGATAATTATGTATTTTAGAACCCATATTTAGCCAGGGAAATCACTTGAATATTTCTTATTATGGAAAATACATTTCTACTAAACACAGTCATGTGTGGGGAAAGCATGTTTTTTATTAATGATACGCACTCATATCCACTCAGGAGAGAATCTTCAGAGATGTACCAGTTGTTGACGTCCCCCTTTATGAAGCCAGAGAGGATAACAAACACCAACACCAGGATGTTAACTGCTGTAAAAACCTTGTTTACGATGGCTGACTCTTTCACACCAAATGCAAGAATCCCTAGAAAGAAAAGACAAAATATAAAGTTCATCATGACTTTGAATCCAGTCAAAGTTTGTTCGTCAAAAATAGAAAAATACTCAAAATACATGAAAAATATGTTTCAGATTGTGAATATCTAAAGTTATTTTCCTTTATTTTTCACACATAAATTACATATAATTGTGAAACTTGCCTGCCAAGAGCATTATGAGGCCAGCTGCAAAAAAGTCTGGGTAGGGAGCTAATCCAGGTAAATCCATTGCAGCCTGTTTGCCCAGAGAGCTGGTGATAACATTTCCAATGAGGTCATCGAAGGTCCCACTCCATGCTCTGGCTACACTTGATGTCCCTTAAAAACAACAGTAAACAAGAAGGAGACACACAATGAGTGAATTCACCTAGAGATTCATAAATGTTTTCTTCACTTTACACTTGAGACTCATGTTATCAAAAGTTTATGAGAAAAGAAAGTATTTACTAGAGATTTTTCTAAGATGACAGTTAAACATCCATCATATAGTGAAAATGTAGTCAGAGAGACATTATCCTCACCTATGACATAAGACAGCAACAGGTTCCAGCCAGTGATAAAAGCCCATATCTCTCCCACGGTCACATAGCTGTAGAGATAGGCAGAGCCAGTCTTGGGAACACGAGCTCCAAATTCAGCATAACATAGTCCTGCAAAGATGGAGGCAACCGCTGCTATCAGGAAAGAGATTATGATACTCGGCCCGGCCACGGCTCTGGCCACTTCTCCCGACAGCACATACACGCCGGCCCCCAGTGTGCTGCCGACCCCAAGAGCCACCAGGTCGAGGGTGGTCAGGCACCGCCGAAAGTTGGACACTTCACCCTCAGGCTCCAGAGGTTTCCTACGGGACAAACTCTGCAGGAACAGCAGAATCTTTGCACCAGGCATCCTATTAATCAAGACAGTTTGTGTTCATTGTTAGGACTGCTCATGACAAATACACACAAATGGTATAGTTGAGGACTGACTCAAGCAAAGTCAACAGACAAACCAGAAAATGTCTTGGTAGACAGCGGTGTATAGCTTGTGATTTTAAATAAAAACTCAGTACACATTATGTTATTTCAAAAATAACAAGAGGCACAACAACCAACTCAATAACATTTTCTGGTCAAAGGAGGGAAACCTCTCTTTAGAAAATGTAATATGTCCATTTACAAATCAAAATGCTACCATTGAAAACATGAGACACAAATAAAGTCTTTGATGGTTAAAAGTTATCTGCAGCTTTTTGTTTGATTATAGACTATTTAATCAGAACAATCATTGCAACAGTTTGAAACCACAAAAAAAAAAAATGCAAGTCTGAGATAGACACAGGAAAAAGTCATTTTCACAAGATGTACATATGATTTTACTGTTTGTGATATAAAATGGATGCAGCTGCAAGCAGGTTTTTGAGCCTTCAGATCACTGAGAAATGAACAATATCACTTTTCAAGCACACATACACACTAACTTCCTGTTCATATATTATCCTTATCACATAGAGCACTTCCTGCACAGGTATTCATAGTATTCATTCCCACACAATGTAAATATAGAAATAATGTTGGAGAATAACAAAATAGTACCAAATGTAACTTCTCCTTCATTGCTTGTAATTATTTCATATGTCATCGTTGGGCAATTTACTGTAAAGGCCTGTGTGTATGAAACAGGAAGAAATTAAAGTAGGTGTTAGCTTCATTAATGTACATTTATCATTTTACTGTTTTCATGATGTATCAGTGATTCATCATGAGTCAGATAACATATTTTTATTTGAAAAGAAAAACAGAACAAGCCTTAAGATGAACTGAACAAACTTTTTGTACTAACTGATCACAACCAGCAGATTATTTAGTGAATATAAGAAAGACATTCTTACCTTTTCAGCTGAAAGCAGCAGTCTGTGTGACTGTGTTTTGATCTGGCCCAGACCACACTATATGTGAGGATAAACCCATTCACCATGAACTCCTCACAGCTCAACATTTTTGACACATTATGTTACATTTCAGACATACGTGCCATTTCTGAAAAAGACATGATCCGAATGATTTGTGTGAGGACACTGTCGGCATGTCAAACGATGTCATAACTCTCACAGAGTGACTGATAAAACATTCTGTTTGTCTGTTTCTTCATTTTATGTGTAGATGAGCATCAAAATGTGTCTTAAGCTTCTTGAAATTGTTGGTCATCTCTGACAGATGACTCCTGTATGGATTTTTAAATTAAATTATTAAATGAACACATCATCATTCCTGGAAAATGCAGGAAATGGATCATAATGTCATTTTCTGAAATTTGAAATAAAAAGATTATTAAAATAATACGTGTTTACATATTTTTTTAAGTTTCATTTGTGATATAGAGGGCAACAAAATTGAACAGTGCACACAATCAACATTCCCTGCCATTCATTTAAACCTAATCCTGAGACCTGTTTAAAGTACTGCTGTCACCTTGCGTCACCTTTAGTGTCATTTTAATTGTGTGATTTCAAATGTATTTTTGTGTATTTTTTGTGTATGTATTTTTTTTTTTCTAAAAACAAAAATACATTCACCAAGTTATTACAATTAAATATGAACACAAAGTTAAAATGATTTGAACTTTTTTTAATTTGATTTATTTTTCTACTCTGGGCTGAAAAGATCAGTGCTGAATGAAAACATTAAAAATCATCACAAAGTTTAACAAAGCTGAGGATTTCTAGTGCGGGAATACTTTTAATTAAGAGTGCCCCCATCAGTTAATTGCACTTTTAACTCAAGATCCTGAAACCTGTCCCGACCTCCAATAACTGCTGCAAAAAGAAAATGTAAAAGAAAAGAAATCTCTCTCCTCTAATTCTATTTTCTTATTATCAACAGAAAGTTGTGTGTTTGAGTTTGAATTATTGTAACTTTATAAAGAACAACAATATGGCAACTACAAAATCTGGAAACTAAAACTGTGATTATCTGTGTTTGATCAGTTGCCTCATCCTCCAAGGAGGTCAGTGTTTTCAGCTCTGTGAAGACAAGTTCTGGAAACCTTTCAGGATTTCTGAATCTCCTGTTGTTGATCAAGCAGCTCTAACATACTGAGGTCTGCCTGTTGCTTTCCTAATTGGTTTTTCTTTATCTAATTAAACTTTCTTACAGCTGGAGCGTTTTCTTCTAGCTGTGAAACAGTTAAATTTTAAGTTTTAAATCCCCTTTTAGGATCCTCTATATGTCTGACGCCTTGTCAACACAGTGTTGGGTTGGGACACAGGTAAGTCAACATGTTGTAAACTGAAATTGTTTTCACTGGAGACATCTGCTCAGCAACAAAGTGAAGATTCGTTCATCGGAGCATAAGGAGACAACTAATTGTTTGAGGAACGTAATGGTGCAGTCCATTGCTTCCAGGGGCTCCTGGTATCATGCTGCTGCTCTGCTGGTAAACGCCAGATTAAACCTGCCTGGAAAACTGATCACTGGATGTTAAACACATGCAGACACAGGCACCAGGAAAGGCTGAGGGTTCGAGGAAATTCTATGTGTGTCCCAAGAGTACTGAAAAACATGTCTACAGTTTTATTTTTTTCATTGAGGAAATAAACATGTTTATGTTCAACTGTGGCACATTGGACTTAATTTAATATGTGTTTGAGAGATGAAATAAAAAATGTGCTTGAAGAAGAAATTATTGTTATACATCATATATGAATATGAAAGCCCCAAACATCCAGGTATACAAGTATTAATGAAGGTGGCAGACAATGAAAAACTTAACAACCTTCTCTTTTATCTTATAGATGTTGTCAGTGAAAGCAGCTACTTGGTTGTATTCCTGTAATGTTGTAGTAATAGTAGATCATTACAAATTAAAGTAACCCTCCCAACTCATTCTGTGCCACTTTAGGTTGTGATGACTTTGGTTCAGGAGGAGTGAACTGTGAGTAGACTTCATTAGCTGAAGGAAATGGACTACCCCTCTCTCTGTTAATGATTCATCTGCAGAAAGAGGTTCAGAAGCTGAGACCATTGTCCAGTAAGTTCATTCAGCACCCTGGATATTTTGGGAAAAGGCTTAAAAAAATCAGTGTATAGCTGCAGATTAACTGCTTCAAGTGTATTTGAAACACACTCCGGCGTTCAGGCGGTAAGTTTCATCCTGTGTTATAGTCCATGTTTGATGTTTTAATTGTTTTACTTTGGGAATTGAAAAGCAGTGAAGAACTGTTTTAGAGAATTCAGAAATAGTCATCTTATTTATTAATTTAGCCTGTCAGTAATTTAAAACAGATGATAATATTACAGTCTTTGCTGACTGTACTTTGCTGGAAAACTGTGTGATTTAATCTATTTTTATCAATTTGGAACAGGTGGAAATTATGTGATTTGTATTTTCTTTTCTTTTTTTTTGTTATTTCCAAAAAGAATACTTAGGAGACATTGGATACTAACACTGGACATTGGATCATTACATAATTATATCCTACAATATAATTAAATCTAATTATTTTTTGAACGCAAAATATGCTTTCCATCCAAAACACTGGCAATAATAAATTGATGGTAAAAAAATAGATTTTATATGGCTGTGCGTTGAACTTCCCTCAATAATGGTTAATGTGGCAAACAGCGACTCTTAAAGGCATTAGTTGCTTCATTATCACAGCTCTGCCCCAGCATTTTTCCAGCAGTATTAGCCAGTTGCAGTGAGACTGCTATGGCTTTTCTCCATGGTGACTGGGTTCACTGGCCACAGCGTGAGACCGAGCATTTGCAGGAAGGAGGGTCATTAGAGTGTGACTTCACCCTCAGCTCATGTAAATCCTGCTTCTATTTTGGGTGCAGATGGATATTTCAAGCAACCTGACCACCCTGTTACTGAGGTGTACAAATTCATCTCTTTTTAGAAACAGTACTAGAGAAGTCAACTCATTAAAAAAAACAATACAAACTCTTAAAAGATTTATATAACTGAGTAGTCCTTCTGGGTAATAACAGCCTTAGGTTATGTTGGCTTCTAACACCATTATGACCTTGTTTATATGGTAGAGTGAGCTCAGTGAGTTTATTAGATGGTATCACACACTACTACAGCACACAAATTATGTCTATATCTTGTTGAATTATCAAGAAAATTAAAATGACTTGATTATTTATTTATTATTATTATTAGCGGAAAATTTCCTTTAAAATTTCCTTTTGTACATGTTTGTTTTATAGGAAAAAAAATGATATCTGATGTGATTGTAGGCCTTTTGATTACTCTTGAACAAAGCCATAACATGTTTCTTGTTTTCATTTCTTCCTCCAGGTAGGCATTCTCATCAGTGCAAACATGAATAACACAAAACAGCGCAGCAGGCAGATTGGTGGGACAAGATTATACTGAGAATATCTTCACTCTGAGAAGTTGTGGAAAACAAGCCTACCCATTTGAAAAAAAAGAAAGATGAAACTAGTTCTGTATTATCTGATACTCTTGGGGTCCAGTTATGTCATTTCAACTTATGGTCCCCATCAAAGAGCACAGATGACTGGTGATATTTTACTTGGAGGTCTTTTCCCCATACACTTTGGTGTTTCATCCAAAGACCAAGACCTCGCAGCCCGACCAGAATCTACACAGTGTGTCAGGTAAAATTTGAGACTGGTTTATGTGTTGAAAAAAAGGATTTCTGAAAACTGACTGTGCTCAGCTCCTTTAAATTCATGCCATGTCGTTTTTGCAGGTTCAATTTCCGTGGTTTCCGTTGGCTCCAGGCCATGATTTTTGCAATTGACGAGATTAACAACAGCAGCACTCTCCTGCCCAACATCACTTTGGGCTACAGGATATTTGACACATGCAACACAGTGTCAAAAGCCCTGGAAGCTACCCTTAGTTTTGTGGCCCAAAATAAGATTGACTCCCTGAAT